ACATAGCTCTGCTAGTGTACCGGTGTTTCCTGCCGTCTCTCCTACCCAGCAGCGCACTGATCTGAATCTACTACAGGTAATACACCAACTATGCATGACTTTCTCATACAACCCGACGTCAAATTACCCAAGCTATCCCTTTGATGATTGTTGTGTCCATGCTTTCGTTGTCCCCATCAGAGTATAAATTTCACTTATCCAGTGAAATATTTCATCATCTAATAGATGTCAGAAGTTTGTACAAACATTGATCTTAATAACTTCAGTGATTCCCCAACTGTTCCCCCACCACGGGGAGTTAGTTTTTGTCCGTTTTGAGTGAAATGTCTCCACAACTATTATATGAATTGCCATGAAACTTAATGCAGATATTCACGTCTCCCTCAGGATGATCATAACTTTGTCCCCTAACTTTTCCTTTAATGACATCAACAGGTCAAGTGGCCAGTCAGTACTTTGGTTTATGACCAAATAGCTGCAAACTGATCCCCATCAGCGTATAGCTGTATGGCTAATTAGCAAATATCAGCATGCTAACACGCTAAACTAAAGATAGTGATTAACATTATGACGTTGGAGTTCAGCTCAAGTCACCACTGCCAGTGCTACTGTAGATTCAGTCCTGTTGAACTTCAGCTGGTTCCAGGGTTGCACAGTTAATTAAAAATAATAAATCATTTCATAACTTTCAAGATTGCACAACATTTCAGAGTCCAAACCCTCGGCCTTGGCACCTCATGATGTAACTGATTGTTGTTCAGTTTTTAGTTATTTCCATATGTATCTTCTGGAAATCGAGCCAGCAGCAAAATCAGGTTAATTACAACTTGGACCTTATTCTCATAGTTCTGTCTTTCATTCCTCTCAGTGCTAAAAACACTGTATTCACCATGTTAGTTTCTCAGTTCTCAAAATGAAGCAACATCACTAAGAATGAATCGGATAAAAACTGAGTCAGACTCTCAGACAGGCTGTAAACAAAACAGCAGGTTAGATGAACGGTAACATGACCGTAACTGTTTGTTGTAAACATCCATCACAGTTCACAGAGCGACTTCTGGTTCAGATTTCAACAGTGTGCATCGTTTTCCTGTGTAAGAGGAGATAACTACTAACATTCTGGGTGTGCTCTCTCTCTCTATTGCAACAGAATAATGGTTTTTAAATTTTTTCCACTAAACTTTCTTGCTCCATTATTCTTAAGTCCCTACATTTTAGGAAAAAAATAACAATATGAGAAGCTGTAATTTTTTCTTTATTAATCCTGAAGGGAAATGGCCAAATTACATAAGAACAACACAAACTACACAATGACATCAAAAGAGGTAGATTAGAAATAATAAAAACATGTAAAAACTAGAAACTGGAACCCTGCTCTAAATCTCTACACCTACAATATAATGCCTGGTAATATTTAAGTTTATTCTGCCCTGTTCTCCTTCCTCAGGAGCCAGAAGCAGCCATGGACATCTCTAATGCTGCAGATGAAACCTCTACCTCGGAGCAGACAGCTGTCAGTCAAACCGAGGCCACACCTCCCTGCACTCAGGAGGCAGAGGATGAGGAAGGCAGCGCTGCAGAGGTGAGTACTGGCTGCTCTTTATGTATTTGTGGATATCTATGGTCATCAGGATCCTAAAATCCCCCGAGTGAACGGTGATAAGATTAAATTCATCTCTGCATTCCACATTGTTTAAATCAGAGGTGGCCAACCTGCAACTCACTGCAGCTTTTTGTTTTTAATACTGACTAGAAAGGATCCAGTCTGTCATGAATAAAAGAAACTAAATATAATACAAATAAAGCCAAAATAAATTAAGAAGAAAAAAAATCCTCTGAGGCTCTTGGTGTCTGGTGTTGGAGACTGTTGTTGACCTGTTGATCTCCCGTGCAGAAGTCCAGCCAGGCTGAGCCCACCAGCTCAGACCCGACAGCTGAGGAGACCAATGAGCAGCCAGCCGAGAACGAGGCCACGCCCCCTCCAGGTATGAACAACCAATAGCTGATTGATAACCAGGTTGTTCTTTACCTGTTATGTATGGCATCTTTTCTGTCTCTTTCTCACTGCGCTGACAAGAATCACAAGCTGTTGTGAAGGAGCTGCTCAGAGGCCTCAGTCAGGAGCTCCAGTGTGACTGTTTTTCTTTATTACAACCTCAAAGCTGCTGATCAAACACCACATGATAGTTTTCACATATTTAAATGGACAACTGCTGCTGCACAGGCGCAAAAGTCATGGGAAGGTCAGCAGTGAAAAATAAAATTAAACTGTGACTTAAATAATTAGTTGATTATCAAAATAGTTAGATTTTCTTTTGTTAATTGGCTCATTGTTTCAGCTGTAACATGTTTACATGTCATTATTGCCCATTTTTTAAAATTAATTTTTATACAGCAGTTGTTTCCAACTCTTGTCTCACTGGATGGATACTTAAAATTTAGAGAAAAAACATTGAAACCTGTGGCCTTGTTACTCCTTTGAGTGATGTCCTAATCTAAAATGGTTGTTCAGATTTGTTTCTGAGATTTTTTCCTTCACCCCAATACAAAAGAAATGAATGGAGCTTAATTTATGTTCCAACTCTTTTATTGGAACAATTTTGTTCTGAAATTCTCCATGAAAACTGTTGACAGTGTGAACATATGTGAGGAAATGTTTTGCCTAATTAAGTTTATATTTTATTTTTGTTCATTTGGATGAATTAACCTTAAGAGTCACCCACCAATCCTGAAATGCATTTCCAAAAATGAATCACAATTCAACGCTGCATTTATTGTTACACTGGACATTTTTAGGAGGAGGAAAACATTGTGTAGCTAGCTACTAAAGTGCAGAACTTTTGGATATATTTATTTGCAGAATGAAGGAACAGAAAAGAAGGTAGGACTTAAAGTTGAGGATTTTACCTTGAGGCACTCAGACTTTGTGCCAAAACTTATAAAGGTTTTTGAAGGATTGCTGCCAAATCCTGGAGAAACGGCTCTGCCAGCTCCGCTCAGAGGAGTTTTCCACAACGTCAGTCACTTGTTTAACTTCTCAAAGGTGTTTGTTAAGCTTGTCAGGGCTTGTTAGGCAAACTGGAGCAATGACTAGTCTGAGAATCACAGTCATCTGGAGCACAGTCAGCTCATTTACTAAAGTATTTTAAATTGATTCATGACTCTGGTGCAGAAACTTGTCAAATATTACTAACTGCTGGGATCATTAAATATTTCCACCTGTGCTTTTGTTGCTAAGAAAAGTTTGCAGAACAAGGAGTTTTGACTTCTCTGTTAAGAAACTTATGGAGTCACCATTGATGTTGTGTCATTTGATTGAGCCTGTTCTGCTTGGTACAACAGTTTGACAACTACATTTCAGAGTAAACTGCAGGTGGTGCTAAATAATAATATCCCCTACTGAAGGGGGCTACTGTTGGTAGCAGTGAATTTATTTTAGTAAGATGTAGCTTGGCCTCATTTTGTTGTTTCCTGAGTATAGTTACTACATTATAATAGTTTGGCTTAAGGATTAAAGCAGGACATCTTCTGTTTGTCTCTCAATGTCATGTTTGGTAAATACTTAAGTCCTCATGTCCTAACAGGTTATGCAAGAGTATAGACTTGAGACAGCAGCTGTGTTTTCATCTTTTCCAGACCCTGACGGTAGCTCTGAAAATCCAAAAGAGGAAGAGGGTGAAGAGGACGAGACAGTGGAGGAGGAGGAGAAAGCCAAGGTATCAAAAATCTGTTTGGGACTTTACAGTGTTGTTGGGCCTTTTCCAGGAGCACGGGGATAACAGAATGTAAACCTAAGACAGTACTGTAACAGTAACTGTGTGTGTATGTTTTTCTCAGGCCAGTGACTTCACGTCTCCACTGAAGCCTGAGAACCAGACAGAGACTTCGACAACCGCAGGTGACCAAGGAGACAGCGCTGACCTTGCCATCACTGACACTGGTAACACAGTTACTGCCAAATTTAAAACTTTTTTCTAGTGCGTCATCCTTTACCCAAAATTTACAATATTACAACATCCTTTTTAACATATTCTTTTATTTTTACACTTTAATGGACTGAATACATTTTGTGTCTGTGGTGGGACAAACTTCATATGGAACAGATGAATGATAAGATTTTGGAACACATTTCTGCATACATTTGCATATTAACGAGGGGACTCTATCCTGAAATTCCTTCACACTTTAAGTTAACTAGTTCAGACTAATACTGGATATGTAGTATGTAAAGACAAACATGTTGGTAGGAAAAATCTTTGCTAATTAATGAGCTAATTGGTTTAATTAGGAGGAAACTGATTTAAACGATAACTCAAGAACAATACATAGTAGAAACTTCATACTTGCAAAGGTACTCCATCTTATATATAATTTGCCTTCCTGCATAATTTTAAATATTAATGTATTAATATTTAAACCTCTGTTAGTATTCTTGATGACAAACTAGTTGTACTGTGAGCACAAGTGTTGTTTTGTCATGGAGATCAAGTTGGTACATGTTTCAAAACACAGTATTCACAAATCTGTAAATGTACTTGAGTAACCCTCAGTAATTTTACTTTTACCTGCAGTTTATCTTGCAGATTTGTGGATTTATTCCTTTAAAATGATTATGAAATGTTTGGCATAGTTGCGTTTTCTTGTGTTTATGGTCATTTAAATTTCTCTTCTAAATTTTAGTATTCCCCAGAGTAAATATATTTTTTATAAGGAAAAAAATATGAAGAATTTATGCAGCTGCACTTCCTTGTTTGTGTTTTTGAAAGTTAGACACACAGAATGTGCTATTTTATTGTGACTTTGTTTATCTTGTGTACTGTTTCTGCAGAATTGGGACAACAGTGACAGCACTAGAAACATGTCCTTTACGTTCATGCATACTGTGTGTTCTCAAAAGCAGTCAGAACAGGAGAACAAATGGAAGATATTTTTCTTTCTCTCTTGTAGAAAAGGCGACGGTGGCGGCTGCAGAAGAACAAACAGACCTAGACGACTCCATTATGCTCAACATTCAGGTCGAAGACAGTGACGCAGCTGAGCGAGAAACCAGCCAGCTGCTCCCTGTGGAGGACGAGTCCTGCGAAGATGTGAGAACACCCAAGAAGAAGAAAAAGAAGAGCAAAAAGGAGATGGAGACAACGGAAGAAACACCTACCACAGACACATCCACCATAGATACACTCAGTGACACTCCTCTTACCTCCAAGTCTGCCAAGAAGAAGCGAGACAAAAAGAGAAAGGAAGAGGAGAAGGAGGAGGTGTCTCAGGTATCTCCATCAGAGAAGAAGGCCAAGAAAAGGAAAAGAGAGAGAGAAGAAGAGAAAGAGGAGGAAACTCCTGTCATTCCCTTGGAAAACAAAATTAAAAAGAAAAAGAAGAAGGTTAATGATGTGGAAGAGGCGGAGGAAAAGGTGGAGAATCCTCTGAGTCCGGCAGAAACAGAAAAAAAGAAGAAGAAGAAAAAGAGGAAGAAGGAGGGAGGACAGGAGAACGAGGTGGCGCAGTCTGATGAAACACCAGCAGGGGGCGACGAAGGCACATACTATAACCTGGATGCAACAGGTAGAAACAGGCAAAACATTTTTCCTCTTGAAACTAAAGCAGCTTTAACACTTTGTCATTAGTGTCAGTTGTATGATAAATTGTTCAGTTTAGTGATTTGTATGTTTTCTTTCTCTGCTCCTGCAGATGGAAACTCCTCTCAGCTCACCTCGGCCAAGAAGAAACAGCGTCTCAGGAAGAAACTCAGCCTGAAGAAGAGACTGAGGCTGCACAAGAAAGACGAGATGGTGAAGAGGAAGAACAAAGTCCCCGCAGGAAAGACTGAGGCCACAGGCAGAAAGAAGTCAGACTTTATTTCATTGGTATCTTTGTTAAAAATACACACTGCTGTTAGTGCTTTACTGTCATTTGTGGGACGTGTTTAAGATTTAAATTCAGTGAAACAACAGTAATAAGACTTAGTGAGACAGACATTTTCTAGAACTTTGAAACCAGTTTATTTCAGCAAATTTATAGTCAAGACTCCTGGGGAGTATATACCAATGTGAAATAAAAATCCACTAAGTAGTACTGGTAAAACTAATGCAGTACATTCTCCCTTAATGAAGGTTATAATGTTCAGTTTTCTGTAATTGTTCAGTAGTAAAATACAGACGTCACATGTTCACATTTTTCAGACAAAAACGGATCCATGAAGCAGCGGAGGAGATGCCTCGGACAAAACCAACCAAAAGACCCAAACTTGATGCTGCGCAGGAAGACGACACACCAAAGAAGAAAAGGAACAGTGAGCAAGAAGAGAATTCCTCGAAGGAAAACCAGCCTCCAAAGACAAAGCCAAAGAAGAAGAAAAAGAAGCAACTGGTGGAGGAGGAAGATGAAAGCGGTGCAGTGAGCGCTGAGCAACTTGAACAGGTCTCATCTCTGTGCTCGAGTGACGGGAAGAAGAAGAAGAAGAAGAAAAAGAAGATGTTGAGGGCTGATGAAGGTGAAGAGATGAGCGCAAATTCAACTCCAGTCACTGCAAGCCAAGATACTCCTGCAAAGAAAAAGAGTAAGAAATTCTCTGGTTGTTACAAATTTTGTGTTCTGCCATGGATTTTATTTCTAACTGGCCTGCAAAATGATTATTTTCATTACTGATTAATAGTAATTTATTCAGATAAATTATTGAACTATTAATTAATGGTGTTAATTACCTCCTGATTGACTAATTGCTTTAGCAATAACTTATTACATATTTTGGTCAAAATTGTTTTTTTTAAAAGTGCTGCAGCTCAGTTTGTTTCCTCTCCAAGTTACACTTTAAAAAATTTTTTGTACCAATGAAGACAACCTGTAGTGTATTGTTTATTTTTCAAAGACAGTGTGGCCAGTAATTTGGTACAAGATACTTGAGGCACTTTTTTCCTTGTCCTTCTCAGTGCACACACAAAAACTTCACAATGTGCTGATATCCATGTTTTGTGTTGACTCATGTTTTCAGAGAAGAACAGACTAAAGGAAAAACTGGAAGAAACTGAACCTGCTCCAGATGTTACAGCTGCTTCTATGGTACGTTGACGCACGCAAATCTTACTTTTTTGCATGGAGAAACACTTGGTATTTCTGTGAATTATTATAACATTTTTTGTTCTGATAATTCCAGAAAAAGAAATCCTCCAAGAAGAAAATCGTCTCTGATTAAATGTGGTATGTAGCTACACAAGGTTTTTACTTTGACACAATGGGTGTTAGCTTAGCATAAAGACTGGAAACAGGGGCGAACCGCTAGTCTAGCGCTATCAAAGGTAACAAAATACACCTACCAGCATCTCAACAGAGTCTGGAGTCTTGTGTTGTTACTATAAGGTTGTCTAACGACCCCAGCTGAGATTTTACACTTTGGATTTTGTTTAAACATTTAGCTGGCTATTGTTAGCTGACTATAGCGTCATATTTTACATGGGAGTGGTATAAATCCTCTCATCTAACCAAGCAATAAAGTAAATGGGTATTTCCTAATGTTAAACTATCCCTTTATATTTTATGAACCATTAGATATTAAGTTGTATGTATTAATGTTTGTTTCTTCAAGGCAGTTGCATAATCACATTTTAGATCAATTTCAATTGGCCCTGAGGCTCTTTCATGCACAGTGGAGTGTTAATGAAGTGTTATTCCTGCTTTTACTGACACTTGAGCACTAATCTTCATGGATCATCTCACCTGCAATTAAAAAATATTTGCACACATTCAAACTTTAGTGTACCCTCAGGGAGTTTTGCTCTTCAGAAAATGGTTTACAATAAAAAACAAAATCATAAAGTCACAGTAAAATGTGAATGATGGCTGCAGAAGTTGAGTAAAAAGTTAACAGTTCAGATAAGGCAAGCTGTTTAGTTAAAGCACAGAGATCTAATGTTTTTTTTTTGCCCTTGTGTATTCTCTGATCAGAAGTCAGTGGAGGGAGGATGACTTCTCTTGGACCTGAAAGCCCAAAAATAACAGGACAATCTGCATAATGTTGGTGCCTTTGCTCCTGATTCTTCAGTCTGAGATGAAGGGATTTTCTCCTTTCAGAAACAGAGGGGTACTTCTGAGGGAACATCAGTGTTTTCAGTCTGTTTTACTTTCTTTTGGTCTAAAACTGAAAACTCATACACCTTCAGTTTGTTTGTGTTTACAGTTTAAAATCCTCTTCAGCAGAATGACGCTTTAATCATACAGATTTTTCTTAATGGCAGACCTGTTCTTTAGGGAAAATTTTATTGGAATAACATTTGAAATAATAAATTGTCTAATGACAACTTCTAGTAGCTGCGGTTCATCATATTAACTTGAGTATCATTTGAAATTACTATTACAGTATTTCTTCTTATTCAACAAAAGCAGCTGTAAAAGAACTTTATGAAATATTTTAAATTGATCAAATTCTGATCTAAAGAATAACTATATTGCTGCAACTAATGCTTCACTTTGCTATTAATTAATCTGTTCAATAATTTGCTCTATAAAACAGAAACAGCAAATTCTCACATTGTTGAAGCTGAAAACAGTGAATGTTTGGAGGTTGTGCCTGACTAATCATATTAGGGATTCAACAGATGATCAAAATAAAATGAATCACAAACACTTTTGACAAACTAATTGTTTCAGCTCAAATTAAAAAGTCTGAGCAGGAATTTTACGCCAATGTTTGATACTTGTAGCCAGGAACACATTTCAATTGGTATCAGATAAGATGGTTAAGTACAAAGCAGCTCTGCCTTTGAGGGATATTTATATAATTAAAGCGGCACCTCATTAAAAGTGATAGAAGTTCTTACCTTATTACTGTTAGTCTTCCTTCTTTGGACTGCTGGTTTACCATGTTGATGGGTACAACAGATGAGCTTTGCATTGATGGCACAGTGATGGGACCAAGCTGTGAACACAAAAGGTCATATTTGAGCAACAACTCCTGAAAATTGTGAACAGTTGATCTTGATAATTAGATTTTGTTTCTGTCTTTGGAGCTTTATTGTAGAAAGTCAGTTTTGTTCTAACACTAACTCATGTTACATATGATGTATTTTGACCTTTTTTTCCTCTGTCAGTCATAATGCTGTGAAATTCAGTTTTTTCTTTGGAAATGGTTTTGTTTACAGTGTCACTGTCGTTTACACAATTTTCTTAATAAGCCTATGAACTATGCACCTGATTTAATGCCGTTATTACATAATATTTACACTGTTTGGATGTTTGTTTGCTTTTCCTGACAACCAACATGTTCTCCTCTCTGTGGGACACCAAACATGAAAATAAATCAATCCAACAGTTCTAATTTTGTTGTTTTGTACTGTTGCATTTGACTTGTAAAAATCAACATCCAAATTGAAACTAAACTGCTATATATACAAAATAAAGCAGACAAATGTCAACCAAAGTCAATAGTAATTACACCCTATATTTGATAGATATACTGTCAATGCAAAGTGTTTAACAGGTCATACTATAAGTGGTCATAGCGGTTAGTACGAAGCCTTGTTAACGATGACTTCTCTCTCTCTGCTTGCCTTGTCTTATGTATAGTTATTCAGCCAGTCAGTCGGTGACATTTAGAATTATAGGACATTATAGTATGTCAAATAAAATGTCATAACCAACGTCATGGAATAGTTTATCATATAAAACATCATGGAACAGTATAGCAAAAAAAAACAACAACATAGTATAGCATGTCATTAAAAACGTCATAATATAGTATGTCAAAAAAATGCTATAGTATAGCATGTAATTAAAAACGTCATAATATAGTATGTCATAAAAAACATCATAGTATAGTATATCATAAAAACGTCATGGAATTGTATATCATAAAAAAAACGCCATAGTATAGTATGTCAAAAAAATGTCATAACAAAGTCATGGAATAGTATATCATAAAAACGTCATAGTATAGTACGCCATAAAAACATAGTATAGTATATCATAAAATCATCATAGTATAATATGTCATTAAAAACGTCATAATATAGTATGTCATAAAAAACATCATAGTATAGTATTTCATAAAAAACGTCATAGAGTAGTATGTCATAGTATAGTAGGTCATAAAGACATCATAACAAACTTCATAGAATAGTATATCATAAAAAACATCATAGTATAGTATGTCATTAAAAACATCATAGTATAGTATGTCATTAAAAACATCATAGTATAGTATGTCATTAAAAACATCATAGTATAGTATGTCATTAAAAACATCATAGTATAGTATGTCATTAAAAACATCATAGTATAGTATGTCATTAAAAACATCATAGTATAGTATGTCATTAAAAACATCATAGTATAGTATGTCATTAAAAACATCATAGTATAGTATGTCATTAAAAACATCATAGTATAGTATGTCATTAAAAACATCATAGTATAGTATGTCATTAAAAACATCATAGTATAGTATGTCATTAAAAACATCATAGTATAGTATGTCATTAAAAACATCATAGTATAGTATGTCATTAAAAACATCATAGTATAGTATGTCATTAAAAACATCATAGTATAGTATGTCATTAAAAACATCATAGTATAGTATGTCATTAAAAACATCATAGTATAGTATGTCATTAAAAACATCATAGTATAGTATGTCATTAAAAACATCATAGTATAGTATGTCATTAAAAACATCATAGTATAGTATGTCATTAAAAACATCATAGTATAGTATGTCATTAAAAACATCATAGTATAGTATGTCATTAAAAACATCATAGTATAGTATGTCATTAAAAACATCATAGTATAGTATGTCATTAAAAACATCATAGTATAGTATGTCATTAAAAACATCATAGTATAGTATGTCATTAAAAACATCATAGTATAGTATGTCATTAAAAACATCATAGTATAGTATGTCATTAAAAACATCATAGTATAGTATGTCATTAAAAACATCATAGTATAGTATGTCATTAAAAACATCATAGTATAGTATGTCATTAAAAACATCATAGTATAGTATGTCATTAAAAACATCATAGTATAGTATGTCATTAAAAACATCATAGTATAGTATGTCATTAAAAACATCATAGTATAGTATGTCATTAAAAACATCATAGTATAGTATGTCATTAAAAACATCATAGTATAGTATGTCATTAAAAACATCATAGTATAGTATGTCATTAAAAACATCATAGTATAGTATGTCATTAAAAACATCATAGTATAGTATGTCATTAAAAACATCATAGTATAGTATGTCATTAAAAACATCATAGTATAGTATGTCATTAAAAACATCATAGTATAGTATGTCATAAAAAACGTCATAGTATAGTATGTCATTAAAAACATCATAGTATAGTATGTCATAAAAGCCGTCATGGTATAGTAAGTCATAAAAATGTCAAAAAATAAAAAACAACATAGTATAGCATGTCATTAAAAACGTCATAGTATAGTATGCCATAAAAATGTCATAAAAAAATGCCATAGGATAGCATGTCATTAAAAACGTCATGGAATAGTGTATCATAAAAAAACTCCATAGTATAGTAAGTCATAAAAAACATCATAGTATATTATATCATAAAATCATCATAGTATAGTATGTCATTAAAAACGTCATAGTATAGCATGTCATAAAAAACATCATAGTATAGTATGTCAAAAAATGCTATAGTATAGCATGTAATTAAAAACGTCATAATATAGTATGTCATAAAAAACGTCATAGTATAGTATTTCATAAAAAACGTCATAGTATGGTATGTCATAAAAAAGGTCATAGTATAGTAGGTCATAAAGACATCATAACAAACTTCATAGAATAGTATATCATAAAAATGACATGAAAAAACGTCATAGTATAGTATGTCATTAAAAACCTGATAGTATAGCATGTCATTATAAACATCATAGTATAGTATGTCATAAAAATGCCATAGTATAGCATGTAATTAAAAACGTCATAATATAGTATGTCATAAAAAACGTCATAGTATAGTATGTCATAACAAACGTCATAGTATAGTATGTCATAAAAAACGTCATAGTATAGTATGTCATAAAAAATGTCATAGTATAGTATGTCATAAAAGCCATCATAGTATAGTAGGTCATAAAAATGTCAAAAAATAAAAAACAACATAGTATAGCATGTCATTAAAAACGTCATAGTATAGTATGCCATAAAAATGTCATAAAAAAATGCCATAGGATAGCATGTCATTAAAAACGTCATGGAATAGTGTATCATAAAAAAACTCCATAGTATAGTAAGTCATAAAAAACATCATAGTATATTATATCATAAAATCATCATAGTATAGTATGTCATTAAAAACGTCATAGTATAGCATGTCATAAAAAACATCATAGTATAGTATGTCAAAAAATGCTATAGTATAGCATGTAATTAAAAACGTCATAATATAGTATGTCATAAAAAACGTCATAGTATAGTATTTCATAAAAAACGTCATAGTATGGTATGTCATAAAAAAGGTCATAGTATAGTAGGTCATAAAGACATCATAACAAACTTCATAGAATAGTATATCATAAAAAACATTATGGTATAGTATATCATAAAAATGACATGAAAAAACGTCATAGTATAGAATGTCATTAAAAACCTCATAGTATAGCATGTCATTATAAACGTCATAGTATAGTATGTCATAAAAATGACATGAAAAAACGTCATAGTATAGTATGTCATTAAAAACCTCATAGTATAGCATGTCATTATAAACATCATAGTATAGTATGTCATAAAAATGCTATAGTATAGCATGTAATTAAAAACGTCATAATATAGTATGTCATAAAAAACGTCATAGTATAGTATGTCATAAAAAACGTCATAGTATAGTATGTCATAAAAAACGTCATAGTATAGTATGTCATAAAAAACGTCATAGTATAGTATGTCATAAAAAACGTCATAGTATAGTATGTCATAAAAAACGTCATAGTATAGTATGTCATAAAAAATGTCATAGTATAGTATGTCATAAAAACCGTCATAGTATAGTAGGTCATAAAAATGTCAAAAAATAAAAAACAACATAGTATAGCATGTCATTAAAAACGTCATAGTATAGTATGCCATAAAAATGTCATAAAAAAATGCCATAGGATAGCATGTCATTAAAAACGTCATGGAATAGTGTATCATAAAAAAACTCCATAGTATAGTAAGTCATAAAAAACATCATAGTATATTATATCATAAAATCATCATAGTATAGTATGTCATTAAAAACGTCATAGTATAGCATGTCATAAAAAACATCATAGTATAGTATGTCAAAAAATGCTATAGTATAGCATGTAATTAAAAACGTCATAATATAGTATGTCATAAAAAACGTCATAGTATAGTATTTCATAAAAAACGTCATAGTATGGTATGTCATAAAAAAGGTCATAGTATAGTAGGTCATAAAGACATCATAACAAACTTCATAGAATAGTATATCATAAAAAACATTATGGTATAGTATATCATAAAAATGACATGAAAAAACGTCATAGTATAGTATGTCATTAAAAACCTCATAGTATAGCATGTCATTATAAACGTCATAGTATAGTATGTCATAAAAATGCCATAGTATAGCATGTAATTAAAAACGTCATAATATAGTATGTCATAAAAAACGTCATAGTATAGTATGTCATAACAAACGTCATAGTATAGTATGTCATAAAAAACGTCATAGTATAGTATGTCATAAAAAATGTCATAGTATAGTATGTCATAAAAGCCGTCATAGTATAGTAGGTCATAAAAATGTCAAAAAATAAAAAACAACATAGTATAGCATGTCATTAAAAACGTCATAGTATAGTATGCCATAAAAATGTCATAAAAAAATGCCATAGGATAGCATGTCATTAAAAACGTCATGGAATAGTGTATCATAAAAAAACTCCATAGTATAGTAAGTCATAAAAAACATCATAGTATATTATATCATAAAATCATCATAGTATAGTATGTCATTAAAAACGTCATAGTATAGCATGTCATAAAAAACATCATAGTATAGTATGTCAAAAAATGCTATAGTATAGCATGTAATTAAAAACGTCATAATATAGTATGTCATAAAAAACGTCATAGTATAGTATTTCATAAAAAACGTCATAGTATGGTATGTCATAAAAAAGGTCATAGTATAGTAGGTCATAAAGACATCATAACAAACTTCATAGAATAGTATATCATAAAAAACATTATGGTATAGTATATCATAAAAATGACATGAAAAAACGTCATAGTATAGTATGTCATTAAA